TCAATCAACCACATAGAGTCATCAATATAACTTATCTGTTTCTGCACTATTAATTTCCAAAAAAAAAAAGAAAAACCCATACCTTACATTTGATTCTCATAGAACCCATGTGGTATACAACCAATGTACAAAACCGTAGCTTTATTCGTACTCCCCTTCTCCTCGGGAAGCTTACGTGCCGGGCGCCTTCCAACGGCAGCAACGAGCATATACGGAGGATTTTTAAACGACACAAGTTCAGTTGAACAGAAAAATTTAAGACTAGTTTCATTTCATAATTAAGCAAGTATGCTAGATAACCATGCATACCAAGAAATCAGGAGCTGAATTTTTAGGATCAGAAAGTGCAAACTAAGCAGAAGCCTTGGTACAGTTTTTTATTCAATGCTTTCTTCGCCTTCAGCCCACCCCGTTGAGAATTCAACTTCAATGGTGGATTATCTTCTCTTCTGTTCGGTAATAAAACCCTTAGCGCTAATATGGGCTTTCTGGTCTGGGCTTATGTACTCTAATGATATTCCTTTTTATGGTCAGAGTGGGCCAGTGCAGCCAACGAAACCTGAACCTAGCGTTAATAGAGGCTTCCTGATCTGGGATCATGTATTCTTCACCTAATTAATGGCGCCTTTGCTTCTGGTCGTGGTTTATTTTTTATTTTTAAAGCCCTGTTATCGCTGCCCAAATTAGTTGCCCTCTATCCTTTCTTGTGGGCACTGTGGGTCTGTGCAGCAATTTTTTTAAAAAAATATTTTTATCCTCCCTCAAAAAAAAAAAAAATTTTTAAAAATAAAAAATGACAAATATTTTTTCTATATTTACGGTCTAATATTTCTGGATTAGTTACTGTGCATCAAGATTAATTACTCCTCAAGTAATATTAAAGATGCACCCCTACATCAATGTGATATATTTAAAAAAATTAATTTTTTTAAATACTGATTTTAAAGTTTAAATCTTAAATTTAGTTAACAAAATGACATTTATTTATTAATAAATTTAACCATTTACAAATTTCTAATGGCTAGCAAAACGTTAAAAGATGAAGGCTTCCTGAGGAATATTGTTGTGCACTGTAATGATAGATTGTTTTGTTTTGTTTTCTTTAATAATAAATATTAATTAAAATTACCAAAAAAAGAAAAAGAAAAAGAAAAATTGTTACCACTAGTGGTCTCCCACAGCTAAACCGTAGAGGTCTCAAATAAGTTGAGTTGATTTCTTTTTATGCTGTTAGCAAGTGAACCATGGAATAATTTGACTTTGAGAATTAGAGATATTAGAGTGCATCCTCTGGTATTCAAGTTAATTTACATTGGACTGTGGAGTTTGACAAGTTAGACTGCAAAGTTGATTTGTACTGTTACATGCTCAGGTGCTAATTTAAGACGAGTTCGAGGAAGAGTATTTAAATACTCAATGCGAGCTAGTTAACTGTTTAGATAATTATGATTACAATGTATTTAGATTCAAGTATCGAATGAAGTTGATTTTGTTAATAAAATACAAATCAAAACTTGACATAATTAAACTTTAATATAACATTGATAAAATCACAATTAGAAATGAAAAAACTCATAATATCTTTTCGAAACAGATTTAAATTATTATTCTTATTCCAAACATTAACATTAATAATATTACAACATTATGATACAATATTTTTTTTTAAAAAAAACACATAATTAAACAACACAACACACAACATACAGCATGAAATTTAATAGGTTTTAATTTCTACTATAAAAAAAAAAAAATTAAGGCGTTTTGCTATTTAAAACAACAGAATATTTAATTATAATAATTAAATAAATGAGATAATATAAACTCTAATTTTATTAAATTTATTATATAATAATTATTTAATATCTGATTATTCTAAATATTACAGCTCTTTTTACATCCCAAAAATACGGGAAAGAAATACGGTAGAAGGTCTTTCAGGAAATACGGGAAGGAAAATCTTAAAAAAAGGTAGAAGGTCTCTTAGAAAAATGCAGACAAATGGACAGCCGAAGAAAAAAATCTGGATGGGCGCGGTGTGTTTTTTATCCAAAAGCCTAACAGCAGCGGCAGCGCAAATGAGAGCGGTTCCAATGGACCAGTAGAGCAAATAAAAGCTCAGGGCCAACTTGGCAGTCAAGGATCGAGCTAGGAAATCTTTCTCGCTCAAACTCGATTTGTGGATATCCAAAAACAACACCACTGAAAGAGATGCAAAAAACATGGAAGCCACATTCGATCCCAAGAATATATTAAAAGGTGATCTTCCAGAGAAAATGGGGATGCCAGTTGTGTCATTGTTACCACCAGGAACAGTAATAATTGGCATTGCTGCAAACATCATGCCAACGGTGAGAGTACCTATAACTGAGGCAAAATTTACGGTATCTTTTACCCATTTTTGTGCATCTCTAAGCAAAGTCTGGTGTTCTTCTCTAAACACTTCTGAAGGAGTTTTCCCATCTTTATTTCTCTGTTCTCTACAAAAACTTGGAACAATGTCTCTAACTTCCTGAATTAATTGTAAATTAAATGAGAAAGTGATGATCATTCAAAAAGACTCACCAGTACCATATTTAGTTTCAATCTTTAAACATAAAATATGAATTATTTACACATAAATTTTACATATTATATTTAAATAAAATGTTAATAATTTATTTTTTCATTTTTAATAGTAAAGATTTATTATAATTTTTTAAATGAAAAAAATAATTATCTTTAATAAATATAATAAAAAGTAAACAAATCTCAATTATTAAAAAAATAAATGATAAAGATTTTACATAAATATAATGTATAAAACTTATATAAAAGTGAATTTTAACTCTATCATATATCGCTATAAAGAGACTAGTGCTTAATTAATTATATACATGCAGCTAAATTTAATATATAGTCTATTAATTATGTGATTTATTTTAATTTAGTCTAAAAATAATTTTTTATTTTAAAATGATCTATAAACTATAAATTTTGTTTTAAAATAAATTACTTGACAAACATTCTGTTAATTAGACTAATGGAGTTCTTTTTAACTGCTGACGTGTACCACCTAATTCATCACTGGCTTGGATACGAAAGGGAGGTGGTGTAGACAAGTTGCCTCTTAAACTTTTAAAAAATGTTAAATATAGTACATATATTTTTATTTTTTTAATATTTTACTTTTGAAGTTCAGATTTGTTATTCAATGTAATAATTAAGATAAAATTTTAATTTATATTAATTAAGACTTTAATTTTAATTTATAATAATTAATATTATAATTTAAATTTTATTATTTTTTAAAAAATTAATTTATTATTAAATATTAATATTTTTAATAAATAAACCCTTTCAAAATTTAATTTAATTAAATGAGAACCCGCATATAATTAAAATTACCTAAAAAATAAAATTTCATTTTAATTTTATAAATCCACAAATTAAATCATGTATGTATTATTAGTGTTAAAAATAAAAATAAAATTTTTTATTTTTCTATACAAATTAGTGAAAAAATATGAACTTAATAATGATATTAAATTTTTTAAGAAATAATAAAATTTTAATTATAATATTAATTATTTTAAATTAAAATTAAAATCTTAATCAATGTAAATTAAAATTATTATCTTAATTAATTATTACATTTGACATATAATTTAAACTTTAAAAACAAAATGTTACAAAAAAATAAAAATATATATATTATATTTAATATTTTTCAAAAGTTTAGGGACAGCTTGTCTACATCAACTTCTCCTCTTGTGTTTTGGGCCACATAATAAGCCATTGATGAATTAGATGGTACATGTGAACGGCTAGAAAGAATTTTATTAGTCTAGTTAGGAATGTTTGTCACGTAAATCGTTTTAAAACATAATTAATAATTTATACATCATTTTAAAAGAAAAAATTATTTTTAAAATAAATTAAAATAAATCACATTGTTAATATATTATTTATTGAATTTTGCCATATATGCTGCACTCCTCAAAAATAAATTAAGAAAAAAACCACTTCAAAGTATATCATTTTAATAAACATAAATTGAAAAAATAAAAAAATAAAAAATTTTAATTTTAAAATATAAATTTTTGTCTTTTTCTGAATTGTAAAACAACGTAGTTTAATTTTAAGATCTTTTCTTCTTAAGTTTTTTAAGTCCCACTGGTAATTAAACAACTAAATAAAAGTTTCAAGGATTACCCTAAACCAGTTTGCTTCGCTTTGCATTCGAAGAAGCGGATCAGAGATATCCTGAATACAGGGACAGCTGGGAGGTAACTTTGCAGCCAGATGTAACAAATTGTTTTTTTGGTCATCTATGTTAAACTCCTCCATGATCCTCAGCGGATCGAGCCTATAAAGAAACTCGGCAATATCCCCTTGACGATGAGCTACAGCATGCATTAACATGTCTCTTGAGTGTTCATCGGGATCAGTGGAATGGCTCCAAACTATCTCAGGATTAGCTTCTGAAATTTCTTTTACAAAGTCAAGGTAGCCAAGCTGGATAGCCTTGAAGGAAGCTTCCACTGCTCCACTGCTCTTAAGTCGCTCTCTTCCTAAAGTTGACAGTTGCTCGCATGTGAAATGTACCATATCACGGGCATAGGCGCGGGCATAGGTATGGCTATACTTTGGAACATATAACAGCCATCGACCTAGTTAAGAGCAAAAATTGTGTATATATAGCAAGGAAATTCAAAAGTTAGTATATACATACATATGTGGTTAGTTATCAACTAGAATATATAGCAAAATAATATATATATATATATATGTATAAATCAATTGAAAATTGTAATTAAAGAAAGAGTGAAGAGAAGTGTACTCACAATATTTATATATAAGCCCTTCCCCCAATAAAAGAAGCTTGTTCCCAGTAAACAATGGTGATAGTATTTCGACCAACACTGAAATAAGAGGGGTAGGTTCCAAAGAGCTTTGGTGAAATACCAAACCTGGATATTTGTGCAGCAGATCCAGTCCAATATCTGATTCAAAAGTACCATACCAGTTTGTTTGATAATGGTAAAATAAAAGGCATGCACGCATATATTTATATATATATATATGTGTGTGAATAAATCTTAATTATTTATTTTTATACTTTCAATAGTTGAGATTTTTTATGACTTTTTAGATACAAAATAATTATATTTAATAATTATGCATAAATCTTAATTATAAAAAGTGAAGAGATGAATGGTTAAGATTTTGTATAAATATAATGTATAAAACTTGTGTATGAGTAAATTTCTACTAACACACACATATATATATATATATATATATAGCAAAGAGAAAGAGAACAAATAAAATAAAATTTATAGCTCTTACGTACCAAACATATGGTTCCTTATACACTCTTTGAGGAGGAAGAATCCATGGTCCCCATTTACTGGATCTAGAATTTCAATAGGTGTTACCGAATAAAGATAAAGAGTCAAAGACTTATGGCGTGCCACACATGCCAATACAAGTGGAATCTTCTTCTTGCAGTCTGGGATTTCAAGCAATTTTTTGTTCTTTGCAACCAAACATTCTATGATCTCTCTACTTCCCTTAAAAGCAGCCAAGGAAAGAACTGTCTTACCACTCTTATCTTGCATTTCCAACTGTCCTTCTGATATCATGGAAATCAGTTCCTTAGCCAACTCTATCTTGCCAGCAGTAATTGCAACACGAAGAGCAGTGGAACCGTTTTCCATTAATGCTGGAGAATACAGGGGATGGGTTTCAAAGAGTGTTTTCACAGCATCAGAATTCCCCATTTTTCTTATGTCCTTGAGCAATGGTGAGGCTTGTTTCCTTTCAACAGTACTAGTCTTGATTAATTCCTGCCAGGGATTGTAATTAAAATTATGATTATTTTATGAGGAAATTAATATTACTAAGGCTTTCTTTTGCAATACTTTTTAATGTTTTATTTTTTTATTTTTATAATTTTTATTATTTTAAAAATATATAAAGTATTAATTAAAATAAATATTAAATATATTTTATATATTTTTAGGGTGTTAAAAGATTAAAAAAAAACAATTATAGTTACAAATCAACGTTATCAAATTAAATCTAAAATTAAGAAATAGATAAATATGCTTTTCAAAAAAAAAAAAAGAAATAGATAAATATGAAAAATAAACCTGTATCTTTGTTCCCTCTTCATTTTCTTGTTTATGCAAGTTAGCCAATGCATTCCAAGCATCTTTTGCCGAATTCATCTCCTTAATCCTATTAAACTTTTCTTCTCCACATGAAATCTTAATTGCATGCAGAGCTAAAGCATTCCTTTTTATCCACTCCCTTGGGTCTTCTTCATTAGCATAAGCGATCTCGCTTGATAAGACAACATCCCAAAGGTCTTGACCTACTAAATAGTGTTGCATGAAAATGCACCACCTTTCATAATTATGTTCTTTGAGGACCTCAAGCACAATCATGCATGGAACTACTCCTGCATTACTCTGTACAAAATACTTAACCATGCATAAAACTTTTTCTTTTTTGCCAGAAAAAGAAAATAACAAAAGATTAATAGGAGAAGCAACAGGTGATCATATATCATTTTTTATAATAACCATATTAATTTAGAACCATATTCTATGCGCTTAAGAGCATTCATGGATATAGAGGTACATGTAAGAACAAACTAACATACTTAATTACAGATGGAATTGGTCTAACCTGATTGGCGTTCATGTTTCCTTAGTAAATCGTTGCAGACAAATAAACTGATTTAGAAGGAATGAATTTGTAGTTCCTAAGGGCAAGACCTCTACTTATATATATCTACATTAATCTTAGAAATCAAGATAACCAAATAAATAATACCAACATTAGGAATCAAGATAAAAAAAATACCTACCTTAGAAATAAAGATAAAAAAATAATACCTATATTAAGAATCAAGATAAGAGATTAAGAAAAGAAAAAGAGTAAAGCATCAAAGTGGTAATTAAAATAAAGAGAAAGTTTCAAATAATTAAGTTTGGAAAAGGAAAAGTATTGCTATAGAGAAAAGATGAATAAATTCTTAGAGCATCTTCAATGAGAAACTCATAAAGAGTTTCTCCAAATGCCATTATTTCATTCAACCTACGCATATTGAAACTTTAGATGAGACTCAATTTCTAAACGCTACTCTAATTTTGAGACTTAGAAAATTCAACTCAAAAGCTATATAAATATTATACTTTTAATTTTGTTTCTAATTTAATGTATTAATTAGTTGATGAATTTTATGTAAGGTTAAAATAGATCATTTTATTTTCCACATCATCCATGCAATTTAAAATATAAATATTTTAAATTTTTAATCCAAACAATTGCCATCTCAAGTCTTTGAACTTCCATGTCAACTATCAAAATTAAAGAAGATGAATTATTTGATGGAAAGGTTGTGCATGTCAGTATTTAATTGACGAAAGGAAAAAAATTTGTATCAAAAAATTAAGTTGAAGGACTATTTTAATACTTTTTGAAGTTTAAGGACATTTTTAATATAAATCTAAAAGTACAGTGATCAAATTAGTATTTTAACCTCAAAAGAAATTGTACTTCCGAAACATCTGGGTTGTACGGTGGTCAGTATCAATTAATAAAATTGTTCGTTTTGTTATTTTGAAGTTCAGATTACAAACCGAAAAATAAAAACTTTTATGCGAGAGGACATTAGGAGTTCGTATGTTGATTACATAATATATTTTTTTATTATCAGGTCCTGAAAATAAGGAATCGAAAAGCGCATATTTAGTTTGGGCCTGAAGAGCTTGCAGGCCAACTAATTCTGTAGCCCTGTGATGGATTGGAACCACTATGATAGGCTGTAGCAGAAAAGTTAATCCACCAAACCAGTTCTTCTACATTCAAAGGCAGACCCAGCAACATGTCAATCTGCTGGACTTAACTTAACAAACTGGCTTGAGAGAATTGGGATGGCATACATATTTAAAGGGCCTTCAATTTATAAACAGAACCCCAATTATAAGCATTTTTTTTTATCTCCAACCATCCTTTTATGGGGGTCGGCATGGGCATTGCAGGCTTTGTACTGAAGGACTTTTGTGCTTTGACAATTCGACTCTAATTATTCGGTAATGGTATTACAATGATATGAATTTTTATACTGTAAAAACTCAAATGCAAAACAAAACTCTTTAACAATAATCCTTAAAATTTAAATATCTAATGCAATTAACCAATGTCAAATGAAATCAAAAAATCAAAAGAAGCTCATCACTATAATAAAAACAAAAAACTTAAAAACAAAAAAATTTAGCAAACATGAGGCAGTTCCTCGTATCATGGCAATTTCATATGCCATTTATACGGTGCCAGAAGCCATTTGCTACCGTGCCACTGCTTTGTCGATTCGGCAGGGCATTTCGGTTGCCAGGGTGGGGTGGCGTAGGCAGAGCAACACCTACCCTTATCCATTTATACGCAGTTTTGTTAGGTCCAAAAAAAAAAAAAAAAAAGGGCGTAAAACAAGAGAGAGGATATTTACATAAACTCTCCTTCGGCTTATTTTACATTTACTGCTAACCTTAAAGGGCAAGACGTGTTGATGGCCGGAGTAGGGGGAAAATATGTCAGGGTTCAGCTAGCTCATGTGTCTTTCACCTCCATAAATCACAGCAATTTCTCAGAGTCTTACATCTCTACTTACTATAGAATTGAAAAATTATAAATATCATCATCAAAAATCATATGTATTGTCAAAAAGAAACAATTCTGTGTAGGTTAAGCCATCACAGAATTTTATCTTTCTTTGGAATGCTACCCACCAGCAAAACATCGGACTCATGAGCTATTTCAAAATGTGAGTGTGGTATAAAGATATATAATATTGTTTGCAATACTTACAATTTCTGGACATTCATAAAGAATACAAGCAGCCTCTATCCTTTTTTGGCGCTTCTTTTTCTCGTTTTATGGTCCTCTCTACCAGCTTCCTGTGCTCTTCCAATGTTCTCTCTCCTGAAAAACCATGATAGAAGATTATGGTTCCAGGCCGCCTCCCAATGGCTGCAACAAACATATACAGAAGATTTTAAAAAAACACAAGTCAAATAAACAGAAAAATTTAAGACTAGTTTCATTTCATAATTAAGGAAGTATGCTAGAAAACCATGCATACCAAGAAATCAGGGGCTCAATTTTTAGGATTAGAAAGTGCAAACTGACCAGAAGCCTTCTTCACTTTTTTCTTCAATGCTTCCTTCGCCTTCACCCCATCTCTTCAACAATTCAACTTCAACCGCCAATTATCTTCTGATTGGTGGCGAAGAAAACAAGGGGAAATCACAGAAAAATAAGACCAGGGTTCGGCGATAGAACCCTTGCGCTAAATATGGGTTTACTGGTCTGGGCTCATATACCCTCTGATGTCAGTCTTCACTGAATGGGCCCTTTGCCCATAGTTCTGTTTTACATTTTGTTTGCGTGTGATGACGGTCCATATCGATTGGCCTTTATCCCTTGTTAAGTTGTTATGGTCTTAGTGAAGCTTACGCAACTATTGCAACCTCTAAACTTGTAAGTTGTAACCCTCACTTTCTAATATGGGCTGACTTTTGTGGGCTCATGTACCCTGATGATGTCAGTCTTCACTTAATGGACCCCTTTTTTCATGGTTTCTTTTTATTCATTGCCTGTGATAGGGGCCCATATTAGTTGGCCTTTTTCCTTTCTTATCATCTTAGCTCTTTCTTAGGGTGAGTATTTTTTAGTATGGGTATGAAATATATTGATATTTGATTTGAAAGTTTTTTAATACAAATTTTTAGATTTGATACTTATCCAAATATTTGAATACTTACTTTTGCTATTTAACCTAACAAGTACTAAGTAACTTGCAAGTATATATATATATATATTGGTTGAATGATATTTTACTTTAATTTTTTTAATTTAAATTTAATAAAATATTATTTTCTTTCAATCTAAATTTAAATAAGACTAGTAAAATTTTAATAACATATTATTTGTTATAATCTAAACGTAAACATAATCTAAAATAATAATAAAGAACTAAAATTTGGTTTCATATTCAAAATTCAAATTTACATATTAATAAAATATTAAACTCAATTAAATAATTAATAATAAAGAATAAAAAATATGTATCTAAAAAACAAAAAATGAAAATAAATTAAATAACAGGATGAAAGTCCTACAAAGAAGATGTCAAGTTTTTTGACTCATAAAGTCATAATCCCCTTAATCCTTTGCTTCAATTTGTTAGAAATGAATAGTAGTTGATAGTATTATATCTATTTTAACGTGTTAATATATATGTTTTTAACTTATGATTCTTATTGTATTGAATTTAAAGTTTAAAACTAAAAAGTCATCTATATAATAAACAAAATTTATAACCCAAAACTTACTAATAGAAAAGTAAAAAGAATCAAATTTTAAAGTTATAAGTACTCACCATTGTCTAAGAGTGCAAGAAAGGAAAAAAATTATTGGTTGTATGTGTGACATGTGTTTAGTTTAGGGTTTGTTATTTATAGGCTATGTATGTATCTTCTTCTTTTTTTTTTTTGTATTTTATTATTTTTATTTTTAAAAATTATTGTTATTATGCAGATATTAAATATAATAAATACATATAAAATTTTAATTATATAAGTACATATAACATGTTAGTTAAATAAAACGATTAAATAGATTAGATAAACAGTTTTGAACCCTTATACTTATTATTCGATTTGATACTTATGTATATATTATTTTTATATCCGTTACTTACTTGATTTTTTTACAGTTTAGATAAAATACTTATCCAAACAAGTAATATACTTACAAGTAATAGGTATAGTTATACCCAATGCTCACGCCTAGTTCTTTCTTCAAGTAATGTATTTTTCAATTTATTATCTTTTTAACTTTTATTTTTTAAAAATGAAAGTATGACTAAATGTCGAATGGGTAACAAAACGTTACTAGATCATGTGTATATATATATATATATATATGAGATAGGATCTTTTTACATATAATACTTAATTATAAATCTTGTAAATTATATCTCTTATGTCAAAAAATTTTAACATAATGTTTGTAAGATATTATAATTTTTTTTAATACAAGTGATTTGACACCAAAAACACATACTTAGGTAAGGCAGTTGCAACAGAAGCAGATTTTACTTTCTTCAGGTGATGCATCCTACCATATGGTTGTGTGTTCCATCATATTTTCTTGATATCTTGAGATTTTATCATTTAAGATTAAGCCAAGCAGTTTCTATGGTTTTCCATCAAGTGATGTAATAATATTTAAATTGATCTCATTCCAATACAAAACCAATTATGTAAGGAAGAGTTTTATTTATAAAATGCTAAAAGTGGTTGTTGAGTTGCTAATCAAGTGTCATTAGGACAATACTGGATGTAGAGTACTTCAATACTCTAACCTTCCATTCCATGATGCATGTACATAATTCCTTTTTAATGCATGCAAATAATTTTTCATAATTTTTTAAGTCATTAAGTGAATGACCTGACTTTTAATTGTATTGTTGCTACATAAAAAAAAACATGTGATTATTGATCACTCGAGTGCTATGATGGTAAAATTGGTGCTTATGATAGGCATGATCTTGGGACATTTAAACCCAAAAGTTGGTTCTAAATTGTGATTCCATTCCACCACCCCAATTTATAATTGTTTTAATTATAAAAATGTGAGTAAAAATCTTTTAACAAAAAAGTGAAGTGAAAAACAAAATTATCATCTTTTGATATAT